TCCCCCATGGTCCCGTCCCCCCTCCTCCTTCAGCCTCCCTCCCCTGCCCCCTACTTACCAGCTCTGAGTCCGACTCCAGCTCCCTGCTGCAGCCACTGGGGAATGCCCAAATCATCAAAGCTCTCTGAATCTTTTCCAAATCAATTCAGACCTTTTTATTGTTTCCCCGATTCGATTTGGATTTGGAGATTTGGCCACTGAATTGGGTCAAATCTCCTCCAAATTGAATCAGCATCTGAAGCTTCACACAGCTCTACTGTCTTTCATTCCATTTTTTTTCTGCTGTTTCATGCATTTGTACCTTTTTTTCATGCAAATGTGCACACGCATGTAACAGTGACATAAAAGTTAAAGGCATTTCTCCCACACTTGTTTATAGTCTTAATTTTCCTAGTTTTCTAACTCAATCAGCTGACACACTTCAGTCTCTCATCATCTATAACGCATCTTTCTCAACAGGGTTATTTTTTAATCTGCTCTGTAGTTTCTTTGTTTCCCTATTCAAACACATATCTTGTAAGACTGGGGATGGCAGCAAGTTATGCAAGCTGTAGTCACACCATACAATTCATTAGTCCGTTTCTACCCATAATGGAATCTAATTAAAGTTTACAAAACTTCCCTCTCTTCACAGGATGAATGGTACAAGTAGTTTCCAGTGGCAAGACTTCCTGCCCTCCCACTATACAAAAGACTGAATTTAATTTTAGTGATTGCAGACTTCAGTTATTTTCAAAACACCTAGAAAAGTGCAGTCTGCCTAACAAGAAGTATTGATATACTGAAATGCGTGGCAGCATCGGAGACTAAGTTTACAAACTAGCTGACCTCAAGTAGTAAGGGTCTGGAACAGCCCAGGACAATTAAAAAGTGAAGACGGAGACAAACACCACGCTTGCATGCAGTAAGTCATAGACAGGTCACAGATTCCACCGATGGTTTTTCAGTCTCACCTGCTGTGGCCAATGCAGCCAATCAGAATTTTGAGGAAGGGCTTGAAGGAAACATAGACGGGCGGTTTGGCAAAACAAGTTTGGTAGAGGCAAACTCATTCATGGGACACTGTCAGGAAAACAGGCACCAGAGAAGGGATTGGGGTCTTTAGGTCTTCGTTTCTGGGAGTAGTACACTATATAATTTGGTAGTTCTCAACCTTTTTAGACTTCAGGCACACCTTGGAAAATGCCAACTCTTAGCTTTCACTTGCTTCTTGACTATAGAAAAAAGAGCAATTCTATTGTAAGGAACTCAGAAAACCCCCACGCTAGATTCCTGAATATAGTTGAAATATATATATATTTGAAGGTATTTGAAACCACCAGGTCTATCTTGTTCATCATGGGTAGGTATTGGCAAACCTAACGGTGCTAGTGTTTCATAGCACCCCACAGAACCCTTCATAGGATCTCACAGCACCCCAGGGTGCCATGACACACTTACTGAGAATCTCTGGTGTAATTCAGAGCATTTCAGAAATGACGATGAGTTGGATATTGCTATTCAAGCTTTAATTTCATGCTTGCTCACAGGAATAGCTGCACAGAGTGTGAAATAGGTTCTGGGTGTTTTTGAATCAAGCTAAACTCTTGAATGGCTTCTTTCTTTTGCCTAGTGGGAGGCAGTTTTTCCAGTCTGCTGTTTCATGTGATAGTTTAATATGCGCATGATTATGCAACACTGCCCTAGGTATGTTCTGTTCATAGTGTGAAGGATTTTAAAATACCCAAATAATACCCAGCTATGAAAACCAGAATTTAAATAATAATATGAAGGATGCAAATCACCAAAGAAAGGGGCAGGTTTGAAAATTTGTCTTTAATAAAGAAACTTTGTGGGTTCCAAGTCTCGAACTACCCGTGTGTCTAATAGACCAGTTAAGTTCTTGAGCTGGCCCAAAACTCTACTTATAAAAGTCTTATTAAATGAAGTAAGTACCAAATAGGAGTTTCTTCTTTGAGCATAAAGTATGAGGAAGGATAGAAGGCAGCAGAGAAAAAAAATCTAAGTTATAGCACTGGGCATAGTGGTAGTTTATTTTCACAAAGTATTTAAATCAAGGAGAAAAGCACTTGCTTATAAAACTTTAGCCAACTCCTAATAATTTAGTCACAGCTTCAAAAGCAACACTTAAAATTAATCCTTCCAGTTTAGTTTGACTTGTATTTAGAACATGAAAATGCCAAGTAGCTCTTTTCCATTATTTCTTCTTCTGCTTCTCTTTAGCTCTGTTTAATCTTCTCCATACTTCATCTCTTTCTCTGGAAAGTAGATGCTGTATGATGAATGGAAAGTGGTAAAATACACAAGGAAATAAAACTAAAGTCAGTTAGGTCAAAGGGGTGAATGACATAAAATAAAATTTTAATGCAAAATTATTCCACCTAGACAAAGCAGAAGTACACTGAAGATGACTGCTGGCAGACTTCCAGGAGATGTCAGTGCTGGTCAGGAGCCTTGCTAACAAACACTCTTGCTAAGAGCAGCTGAAAATTCTTTACCTTCTAATTTGAAGTGGAAGCATGCTCAGAAGCATCAGTTCTGATAGTCATAATAGTGCTAGAGTGATGTCACCATGAGTCTGGTATTAAGCAAGAGGCAAGGATTTCTTAGGGTGGTATATTTTATTGGACCAACAAGATAGCTGGGAGTTAAGACCTCAACTAAGCAGCTCGTCCAATGAAAGATATCACCCTAAGAAATCCTTGCCCCACCAACAGTTAAACATTCTATACCTCACGGGAATAGATTTTGGCTATAAATAAGCAGCAGCAAGAACAGGCATGATAGTGAATGTAAACCCACAGGCAAAGTTTAGAATATACAAGGGAGCAGTAAATAATTCACTCATTTCCTTCCACTAGCAACTATATTTCTACACCTCCCAATAAGAGTTCTCACCCCATAGATAAACCCCTAGTTGAAGAGAAAAGCCAGGCATATAATATACATACACTGACTGATGTTGCAACCCTGCAACACAAATAGGAGGTATCCAATATCTGTTTCCCTTGAGAACTGATTACCTAACCTAGGCACTTTTGCAATAGGTACAAGTGCATTTCTGTCCCAACTTGTAGTTTTGAAGATCATAGGTAAACATATCTTAGGCAGTTTGGAAAGCAAGAGATTTCCCAGGCTTTATTTAACAGTTAAAGCTAACCAGGGTAAAATGATAGTTTGATTGGATTTTACTGAATTAAAAAAAAACAACAAAAAAAACATAAAATGAAATGCTTCTGTTGCATTGTTCCAAGAAATGGGACATGGATATAGAATGAACTACCTGAATTTAAAAAGGGTCTTGAATCCTACAAGCAAGTTTTAGAATGAATACATATATTTCATTCAGCTCTCTGAAACTGCTAACAAAGCATAAATTCAACAGTGAAAAGGAAGAGCAGGTTGTGCATTGATGAGACTTGCACATACAGAAGGACAGACTCAGGTAAATACCAGAATTTAAGTTCATGCGATTTGAAAAGACAATGCGAAGACAGAAATGTAAAAGAAACTTTCACAATCAGCAGAAGGTTAATCTCCATCTATATACTAAAACCACAAGAAAGGAACAGGACCAAATGCAGAACTACTCAGACCTCTCAGTAGACTAATTATAAGAACCAGTAACTGGGTACAGCTGGTTATTCAGCCACTGAAATAGAAAGGTAATTTTCAGAGAAAAAAATTAAACACTCCCTGGTTTTTAAAACCGATTTCTAAGACTGGGCAACTTCATATCATTTTATAAGGAGTAAGAGACTTTTCAAGTAGATGTTACGGAATAAGTAATCCAGCCAGGAAATATCTGTGGTAAGAATATTTATATTTTTCTTTTTACACTTTTAACACTTACAAAAACATTCAAACACAGAAAAATTAAATAACTTTGGAAGCAGAATAAGTCTTTCTGCTACATACATACGACAAGTCCGAGCTGTTGGCACAAAAATTAATCCACATTCATAAAACCCTTACTACTATATCAAACATAAGTTAAGTAAATCATAGGCACTAGTTTATCAAATCCATATTTCCACACATCTGCAAAATCTCTAAACACAGAGCCTCAAGATTTCCTGATATTGATAACCGGTAATGCACAAAGGCTTCCTAGTAAACACAGTTTCTTTTTTCAGGAAATTGTTAACTATATTTCTGTGGGACAAGAACAGCGGGTAAAATGAGGCTTACAGAACTTAAGTTCAACATATTTAAGTTGTGGAGTTATTTGCTGAAATTTAAAAAATAAATAATGTACACAATACTTTGATGGAGCCTTGTTAAAAAAATTAAACCTGAATATCTTCATGTAAAATGTTCTGATTTTCAAAACTAAAAATATCAATTTGATTTTCATAATAAAGATCACCAATTGAAATTCCTTTTAGGCGTTACTGAAGACTGCAGCATTTTAAATGAAGTTTGGCTTCGTCAGCGAGGGTGGAGTTTTGACCCAGTCCTCTAGTCCGCCTAGCAGTTACATGAAATACCCACTAGCTGAAAAACATTTTGTGTGTCAGTAAATGGCCCAAAGGCTAGATTACTGGTATGTACTGATCTAATAATAACCCCTGCTGCAGTTTTCCTATTTAAATTACAATATATTTGATGCCCTGACTTCAAAGATTAATCACACTAAAGACAATGGCTCTTAGCCTCATAAGGTATTAAGTCATTTAATTACTGGTATAAGATCTGCCTGCAGGTGGAACCGAATTCTGTTTGGCTTTTTCCAACTCAAGTAGTGTTGCATGGCTTTTCATCCAGTAATATATGTTAACACTTGCCTGAAATTCCAGATTGCTCCAGAACTTCAGGATAAATTATCCTCTTTGTGGTGGGAGTCAACATGCATCAAGGGTGGCACTGTGAATTGTTAAAGGGGCTAAGGGCTACCTACCATCGAATCCAACAAAAATGTAGTATTCTTCAGTCACTGCACACTGGGTACCTTCATGTTGCTTCAGTGTGTAGTTTGCCATTGCTGTAAACTATGCATACAAAAATCTTGGCCTCAAAAGGTTCCACACACAAATACAAAATGCTTCCTGTTGAACTGACCCCACTCAATTACATTTTCAATCTTTACATGACAAATTTTGAAAATAGAAAATAGTTGTTTGGATGCTGTTGTAACAGATTAATTTGTTGAGTGCTGGCCTGATGGCCAACAAAAGTAGGTTTAATATAAATGTTGACAGGTAAAAGTCCAAGAGCCACTAGAGGGATTTAATAACTTGTAAACATATGTAGCAGGTTTCATACTGTTACCATGAATGCAAGATACAGATATGTAAGGCAAAGTACATATTTAACATACTAACATGGGCAATATCCTCTGCAAAAATATTTACAATTTAAAATAAACCAATTTAAGAAATGGATGAAAGTAAAAAAATAGGATACCAAAAACTCCCTCATACGGTGAAACATTACCTAAATGAATATCATTTGGCATCAACAGTACAACTCATTACCTTAGAATTTGTATGTTACAAGTGCATAGTTGTGTTTCCTGCTATTAGCACGTAAAGTTGCGTTCCAGGCTATAAGCAATGCGGTGTGATATTATAACAAATGGATAGTACTGCTTGCTTTCCTTTTAAGGAAACCTGCTATAAAAAGTTCTCTCAAATAATGAGCCGTGTGTTAAAAATGTGGCTGCAATAGCAAAGGCCATCCTTCCTGAGCCAGGAACTATAAGGTTTAGAAAGATTGTACAACTGATACTAAGCCCTTTTGGCAATCAAAACATCAGAGTACATAAAACTGATACGTCAAACATAAAAGGATGCTGCCTATACCATCCGAGTTTCTGTATGTCTGCTACATTCAAACCTTTAATGATAAAAAAATGCCGTGACTACGATTTACTGTCTCCAGTGAACTGCTTTCTGAAGGATATGTACCACTTTCCTGACCAGAATCTCCTGCAATTGTTTAAAGCAGTGTTTAACTACGACTGTAGCTAATTGCAATCAGAATGTTAGCTCTGATTAACATGTTAATGTTTCAATAGTACATATTCACCAATGAATCATTCTGCTGAATTAAAAATCTGACTGAAAATGAAGTTTTGGACAGTTTGAGTTTGCTGTTTTCCTTGCTGTTTTTCAAGATGGGCATTTCTTTGGCATTAGTTAGGTTTTTGCCCAGACATTGGCCATTGTCATAAATGCTCAAATTGATACCTTTTAAGCAAGCAAGAAAAAACCCCAGAACTAATAACGATTTCACGTAAAAGTGATTGTATGATCATCAAATATCTGATGTTAAATGTCATTAAAGTGCTGCTTTATAATCTCTGCCAATTTGTGCTAATTAAAAGACAGAGAGGTCTGGGATTTTACAAATCCCGAATGTCATGTCTGAACAGTCTGCATATCAAGCTGTTTTTTAGCCTGGTGAAGTAGTATCCATTAAGCACTGGAACTTTGCATTTTTAAGCTTTGCAGTTCAGTAGCAGCCTTCTTTCCAACTCTCATCTTTCACGTTGCCATAGGTTTTGGGAGCCGGCAATGATCTAAAATAAAATGAGATTTATTTTAGTTTGGCTTGTACTCAGCTTTCCTGAGCCTCAGTTATCAGACTTGGCACTGGAGAATGGAATTTCTGTAATCACTAAAACTTATGCTTTAATCATTTCACTCCAGGAGCATCTCTGCAGGACTCTTCTACTGGAGTGCAACATTCAAGGGTTTCTATAATGACAATTTTATGTTTCTAAGTGTTAAACTTGGCCATCTATATAATGACTCACAAACTTATTACTGCACTTTATGGAAGTGGGAACTCACCTGTAAGATAAGCAGCACTTCTTCAACACTGAAGTAATTTTATAATTAAGCTTAGCTATGATAGCCATTTGAGTTTAATGGAGGCAGGCACTCTACTGAAGAGTGAGATCAAACTGACAGAGACTGATAAGTAGGGAAGATATTTTCACTAGTGTTAAGTGTACCACAAGAAAGACTAACATTACTAAGCCTTGTTTTTAAAAAATGAGGACAAATGCAATTCAAACACTGCACAAATTATGGCATTCATTGCTTCATCCTTCTTGTACTAACAAGGATGCACAGGACAAAAACTAGGCTCTTTCATTCCGTGATACATTTACTGCTGTATCACACTGAGGTCAACTGCTCTGCCCTCCCTGCAAAAAGTTCTACCTAAGGTTCTTCGAGGGGGCGGGGAGAAGGAGGGGGGGGGGGGGGGCTGGGTCTCTCCTTTCCACATACCAGCTGGTTTTCATTCTGCAGCTTCATATGCGAATATCTTGGCATAAAACTGCAGGTCTCACAGAGAACCAGCATTTTCTATTGATACTGAGCTGAAGCAGAGATGAGCACTTGATTAGTAATTTTTTGCATCTCCTTGTTGGTGGTCTATTCTTCCCATGCGACACCCAGAATCTGTTTTAGATGCTTGTTTTTGGAGATTTCTATTTTCCTACCTATCATGCCAGTACATCTCCAGCTCTTTAAGCATGTTAGTGTTAAACATCATGTTTGAATTGAAAGTTTTCTATTTTGTTCAGGTGCTGAACTGAATTCTCCCCTCCCTTCACCCTCCTTCGGGAAAACAGCTTTCCTATTTTCTTTTAAAGGCCTGGAATATGGGTCTGTGCCCTTCATCAGCTGATAAACATTTGAATTGACAGCTAATCTCTAAAATACTGTTTTCAGTTAAAACACTCAGCTAAGAATGGGATTGAATCCTACAGACATCATACATACCAGAATAAAAACAACCATTATATCTAGGCTGAACTACTCTGAACATTACTGTGGACATCTTAACATTGTTTTATCTGCTTGAACCTTTCAGCAGGTAAGTGTTGTTGTTGTTGTTTGGTAGCATACATCAAAAGATTTACCTTCCACACTTGAAAATTTCATTGGTATTTGTCTCAATTTGTTAGTGTTGCTTCTTAAGTAACTGTCTAATATGGTACCTTTAATAGGTAGCTAGCTGGCTGTGAAAATGAATGCTCCCTTTTAAACGTGCAGAAGTGTAGTTAGTCCTGTACTAACAATATTAATTTTCAGCAACAACCTCCTTTGCTAAGGTCCAACATGCTGTCAGCTTTACTTCTGATCCAGGCTTTTTTTTGGTCAAGGAAGGTGGGAATATAAACTGTAACAACAGGAGAACACACACCAAGCAGTTTAATACCATTGGCCCGTGTCATCTATAGGAGTTAAGCGTTAGCTTCTGAATACAGAACTTTAAATAAAAATGCTCCATTGTACTCACCTGCGAACAGGCTGTGCAAGTTTGCTGCGAGGCACTGGTATGCCCCCAGCAGAAGGGGCACTGGGTCTGGGTAAGCCACTCCGCATCCCTGTTGCCCCTGCTGGTCTAGTTAGAGTAGTACTATTAACACTGCTGGCAGGGACTGGAGAGCCTGGATTCTGAGCTGCAAGAGGTCCCGGCGAGGAACTGCTTTGTATCAGCTGCACAGCTTCTGGAGCAGCAGCAGAACCATGTCCATGGTTACTAAATGCTTTCACTGGCTGCCGGAGAGCCAGAGGCGATGGAGCTGCAGGGGAGCGGAATTTACTTGGAGAAGGTACTGGAAAAATAAAAGTACAAAATAATCATTTTCACAGGAAAAAAAACCAACCCAAAACAAACAAACAACAAATCCAGTTAAAAGGTACAGGGGGCCATTTAAAAACTGAGAATATAGGTTTTCACACAGAAAAGGAAACTACAATGTGATACATGTAATGGAACATGGCTGCTAAAACAGCAAGGAGAAACAGAAGTCAGATGACCTGCTAATGTCAAGTTACTGCTGTAGAGTTTTGGAAATTGTTCACATACAAGATCTTCAATGCACCCAGGACAAGCAATTAATTTTTTAGACTTAGGAGCAAGAACCCTCTTTTCATGACAAAGGCCAAAATGTTTGGGGGATATTAGGACTGTTTTAGTTTTACAAGATTGATCTAGTCAAGAGAGATAAGAACTAGAAGCATTTGTCAATAGCAAATGTACATAATCTATCAAAATAGCTGCAGATACATTTGAATAGAAGTGCTGCACTTCTAAATGACCTGGTTTGTTTTTTTAAAAGACAAACAAACAAACTAGGAAGTTTTGAAGAGAGGCTTTGCTGTACTAATGAATAAGGTTAATTACACATTCTTTATTTCTATAGCTGGATCGTGACTGTTACAAAAAGTCAAACTAAAATGGATTATATTCACAGCAAGCTGAAGGTTTTAAGATTACTCTTGTCCTTCTTTTGTCTTAACTCAGTGCATTAGACTAAGGGCCAGAGTAATAATTTGACTGTGTTACTGTCTGAGTTACTAAAAACATAAGGACTATTAGTTAAGGGGGTATGGAACAAGGGTCCAAGAGCCATTTAAGCTATTGCTTGGTACCTAAATTACTAAGCCATTTAGCTATCAAGTAAAAAGAAACCAAACCAGACAACTACTGCCTTCTTCCCACAAAGTAATTAATTCAGCCTCACTTGGGTAAGCTGGCATGCCCAGGAAAGCCAATTTGCTCTTCCCTTTCATGTAGACATGCCATATTTTAATGCCTTGGCTGTACTGTAGTTCAAGCAGCTATTCTAAGTTTATACACAGAATTGTTTAATTTATACTATTAACTTAATTTTTTTAATGACATCTGTATATTCTCCCCCAACAGTGCTATTGTAATGGCAGTTACTTAATGGGGGTGGGAATTTATGCATTATGAGTGCTGTTGACACTTTAGACCATTAGCTATAAGTTGTCATCTGTTGAAGAGAAAGAGTTACTGACTAAATTATCAATGTCATTAAGAAATGCAAGTGAGCCTTTTGGCATTGGTGTCAATATGCCAAAGGGACATCTTAATATGTGCTCCATGAGGTGTTAAAATCCATTAGTACTGAACACATCTAGATCCATGTTATATATGATTCCATAATATATTACGAGTTCATACTGTAAACAAAATTTGACTAAATTATTTCTTGATATTTAGATAGAAAACATTTTTACAGGCTAGTGGATTATCACCTTTCAAGAGAGAATTAAATAGAGTAGAAACAGAAACATTATAGACCATCACACTCAGGAAATGTCATGAGCTAATTAGCATTCAATACACAAATCTGGCTGGTATTTCCTCCATCAAGTAAATTACTTTACTAAGTTTTTGTTCATGGCTGCTACAGACTACAATCAGAGTTGGGTCTCATTGCATTTGCACAGCATCTCTCAAGGAAGTCCATGTATAGTCCATAGAATTTACAATTTAAAGAAAATTTGGCAAAAACAAAACTGAAAATGGATGACTAGGGAAAGGATAGGAACGGGAAGTTTTGGAGGTGGAGTGGGTAAGGGCTTTCTGGATCATTTTAAGATATTAATCACTGGATAAGTAGCAGGATGGAATAGAGAATGAAGCCATGTGTTGAGATAACTGACAGGTAGGTGGAGGGGGTGTCACTGAAAGAGGACAGTGCTCTAAGTCAGGGATGCAGCTGGAACCGCAATACACCCTGTGAGCTGGATCTGGCCCACAGAACTGTGTCATCCAGCTCACTGGAGTCCCCACAGGTCTGGAAACCTAGCAGCATGGCAAGTGGAGGCAACATTACTTGTGGCAGCTGCTGGAGCCGTGGCTATTATAATACTGTCTCCACTTGCCCTGTGTCAACTAGCTTTATAGTTTTGGCCAATTTGGGGTGTCCAGTATGTGTGCTTCTAGAGACATAACAGGAAGAAAAACGGCGAAAAAACGGAATTTGAAAAAGTACATTTTTGATGAATGAGGTTCTACTAAAAGATATTTAGCCAATAAAATAAATGTCCTTCCATTCCTCAAATACATGGTCTTCAACACTGTGGTATTTTATGAACAGACTTCCAGTCTGAGCCATGAATTTATAAAATGCTCAAGTCACCACAGTACCACACAACAGACTATTTCTAACCACTGCTTTCATTTTTACCAAGACACTTGGCTTAATAAACAATTCACTCTCATAAGCTTTGAGCTACAAACAGCATGATGACATTACTGGCAGATCACCTAATAATTCTGTTCAATGTAGCAGAAGTGGTTTGCTTGGAGAATCCTCTTGGAGTGTTTAATACAATTAAACCTGCCATTTTCAGAACAGAAAGACTACTTACCTATAAGCAGCACTCCCTGAAGACAGAAGCATAAGGAATAAGCCATAGGCTGAATGAGGCTCTTTTTTTAGCACAGAATGATGGGCCATGCACTGTTTGGGTGGTATACATTAAAAATGTAATTTTATATCACTAATTTTGATTTGGCCTTTTACCCAAGCAGTCAAATTAAACAAATGAGGAAGACAGTGTTTGGTAGTTCTATTAACAAGTAATTCAGTTTCTTTCTTTTAAATTAAAAACCCACAAAAAAGAAACAACCCATGAAGTTAGACCTCTGGCTACAAAGAAAGGATAGGACTAAGACCTCGATCCAAGAGTCCAGAGATCTGCACACTGTTGCCCTTTGAGGCACCACTGGGACACCCCAGGACTGTTCAAGCGGTGTTGGGAATGCCTGGGAGTAGCAAGGGTAAGGAGAGCGACTCTGGTCCCTGCAGGTCAGGGCCAGCAACTGGAGCTACCTGCTGCTCCATGGAACTCTGGGAACAGCTGCTCTTCAGCTCTTCCACTGCCATGGCCCCTGCAGGCACAGCTGGTTTGCCCATCTGTAGCGTGGGAAGGAGGAGCAAAGGAGCAGTTCCTACCTATTCCTAGCTGGAGAGCTTGCTGGAATGCCTTTAATCCCCGCCCCCATATTTTCCAGCACTGAAAAAGTCCCAGAAATTTGCAGCCCTGAAATTGAACACCTGTCCATACCCAAAGTTGCCACAAGGGCCCTTTCTCTATCCAAGGAGCAACAGGCAGTTGCTTCTTGGCTTCCTCTGTCCCCTGCTTCCCAGTTTTACCAGACAGGTAGGACCAGGCAAGCAGCAGGCCCAAGGTCTTGGACAGAGTCAGCCTGTCTGGTGCCATCAACTAGCTGATCAATGGGACCAGGCAGGGGGAAGTACCATGGCAGCTCATTGGTGCATGGGCTAATAGGGAGCCAGCCACTCACTGGAGGACTGTGGGATACTGGGGGACAGGAATTCCTGTCCAGGTGTCAAGTTTGTTGCAGAAAACCTTCTCATGAGTCAAAAATTGCTGTTGTAATTAGCAACTCTTCTTTGTTGTGGATCCACCATTTCAGGGAGAGAGCAGATTTTTTTTTTTAGTGGGACAAAAGGCCTGGACGCATGGCTGCAGGGTTTTTGTCACACTAAAACAGTAGGGAAGGTAAGACAAAAGGTAACACCTAAGCTCTGAGTTACTGTAAGGCTAAAACGACCTGGAACACATGCTGAAGTCAGATTAACTACACTGAGCACAATATACTCTCCCAAACACTAAATCTAGGGGTAAAAAAAGGTTGCATCAGCATTCTAGCAGAAGAGAGAGGTCAGTCTGAAAGAACGGAGCGTGGTCAAATGGTCAGAAAAGGAACAAGTAGAAAGCTGGGCACTGTCACTTAACTGCCACCGACTTGCCAAATGCTCTTTGAACAAATCAGTCAAACTGAAATGGAATTTATACAACTGTTACTAGGCATACTTCACAGGGCATGATCTTATCCTTTGTTATATGGAAATCTTTCTATGAAAGATGTTAAAGCAGTGCTTCATCAGCACTTGGAAAACTACATAATCAGTGAATGTTTACAGAAAGACTTTATCCTTGTGAGTGAGATGTTTGAAGTACAGGCAAAAACAAATAGAAAAGGCTAGTAGGACAAAATTCTGTTACTGAATAATGATTCTTTAAGGAAAAAAAGTAAATTCACTTGTAAATATCAAACAAAAATATTCATTTACATGGTACAGAGTATAAAATTATAACTGCCTAAGTAGCTCTAAAACCAGCACTCTGAATTCTATAGTCTCAATAACTGAAGATAGCAGCATTATGCAGAGAGGTCAAAACTGTAACAGAGAACATGACAACTCAGCTTAATACTTTTATTTGCAAGTTTAATTAGGAAAAGAGACCAATTTGATCCAAACCAATAGGCTATTATACTCCTGTAAAGGTTTTAACAACTCTAGAATCATTCTGTCCAGATATCTCAAGAAAAAGCTTCCAAACATTTGAATGAGAGAAGTGGCCAGCCAGAAAGACTGAACTGAAAACAGCTGTCCTGGAGCAGATGCCAGTCTTATCCCAAAAAACAGGTGACTGACTAGATAAGAAAAATGCCTAATACTGCTGCTACATGATCTGAAATGTCAGTTATAGACACTGGTGATTAACCAGAAGAATCTGGCTCAAACTTTACTGTAGTCTGCTGATGAAACTGCTATTAAAAGGGAAGACCAAGGTCATTAAAACTTTCTGAACAGCGCAACAAGTAACAGCTATCAGCAGTTTATGTGTATTAATTGCCATGTTTTAGGATTCAGTGTTGAATATATCTATAAAAAAAATCTTGTCATTGATATAAATAAGTAACTTTCAGCAAAGCAGCTTCTTTAATGTGCATATAGCTTAAAAGGATTAGTCTAAAGGTGAAGTATGGTCTTGTAGTAGGATCTCCTGGATCTTGATAGAGACAAGAGAATTCACTATATTTTAAATGTGTACACAGCTCCTTGGTTTTACCTTCATAGTGGAATAGAAGTGTGCGGGCCGCCTCCCGATCCCGTCCATGCAGCCATGTGTGGGCTAGGAGTGGTATGCGAACCCGTTTCTGCGCACGCGGGCTGTGGCCAGCAGCCCAGGCACGCGGGGTCGAAGAAAACCGGTGGCGAGCTAGAATTAGTTACAGACGCGTAATGGTTGATTAAAAGATTGTTTACTTACACCAACGATGGTCGTGGTATAGGCTGGACAGTTTCCCATGCTCAGCTCTGCTTAAGTCCTCGCTAGAGGACTCCGACAATTGACCCCGGAGTTGTTGAAGCTCCGCGGGTTCGGCTCGGTAATTGGCCCCGGAGTGGTTGAAGCTCCGAGGGTTCGGTAGTTTCAAAGGAAAGGGATACGTCTAAGATCGCGCTCGGTGACAGGGAGAGGCTAGAGGCCGTTTGGCCCCCGGAGTGGTTGATGCTCCGTGGGTTCGGTAAATAGGTCCCCCGGAGCTGTTAAGACTCCGTGGGTTCGGTAAGTCAGCCCTCTATTGCCCTCTTAAGGAGAAGAATAAGCAGCTGGGTTTGAAGGGATTAGCAGCGCTTAGAAATCTTCACGCTCTTTCTCCCAAACTCCAATTGCTCTCTCTCTCTCTCTCTCCAACTTGGGTGGAAACCTCCCAAGCTCTTTATACGGCTAGCAAGCCAATCGCTAGCCGCCACGTGTGCATAATTTAGGATCGGCCAATAATGTGGCGCGAATCTAAATACAAACGGCGGGAACTCGTTTGCACCGTGCATCACTATGATGCAAAAGAAATGCACCATGCAAAGAAGGCTACAAACTGGAGGGAAATACTGTTCTGCACGCGGGTTCTCCTATTGCAGCAGAAAACTCTACCATGCAAAGGAGCTGCAATTTGGCGGGGACATAATTTAGCGGTGCCGAAGCACACAAAAACAAAAAACCACAACTTTGGGTTGTGACAAGAAGTAGCATCCTGTATAAGATTCCCCAGACCTTTACAGGCATTAGTCTGGTGTGCTTGAGTCACTTGCATGATTCTCTTCTCTTAAGACAATGAAGATCAGCCATTAGGTACATAAAATCAGAAATTCTGTCCCCCTAAATTATTTCTGAGAAATGCAGCTTGCAATTTTTTGCTGCATGTCTTAAGGAGAATGCTGGAGTTTTGCTAGCATTCTGTGCTTCAATTGTTCAAAAGTAACAAACTTTTTAGCCTCTGTTTATAATACTGGAGTGTAAGGAGTGAGTGTAAAGGAGAAAAGCGACTTTTTTCCTAAAAACGATGTTGTACCATTTAGTATCAGGATCTACATTTGAAAAAAAATGCTTTCTGCTCATAGTGGAATGGGTGGATTTTTCCTCTTTTAAGCACTTAAAACATGACAACATTACGCTATGTTGATACAGCCACTTCTGCTTTTAGTTAGTTTCTACATGTAACGTTGTTTGGATCTGTTAATTTGTAAGGCAGAAAGAAGATTTAAAAGAGGTGAACAATTTTATGAGTTCTGTTGGAACTTGATAAGAGGCTGGAAGTTTAATTACCTCCTTTTGTAGATGGAGTTTGAAGGAACTGTTTGGTTTTGAAGGCAGCACGAGGCATAATTTTCTGCCTTTGCAGAGCTGTTGAAAGATAAGAAGTGTTATATGTGTCTAGGAAGACAAGAAAACTCAATTCACTTGGGATTTTAGGGCTACATCTGCTAGTGAAGCATCAGGAAAAAGAGTGAGCTAGTAAAACGCATAACAGTTTTCAAAGCTGTTATGACTCCAGAAGTGAAGGAGCTTGTTTTAGAGTGATGCTTTGTGCATTAAAGGTGTGCACAGGGAGGGTGTCAGAAACCTTGCAGTGCAAAAGGTGCAAATTCTTTACTGCCAAAGAAGCTTCTTGCAGGGCAAAAAACCCAGAAAGGAAAAATAATCAAAACACCAGAAAGAGAACAAGTCACCAGTAAACATGCTACAGCAACTTCAGGGCAAGATCAGGTATAAAGATGAAAACTAAGACTGGCTGTCTGATTTACCCTATCGGTAAGTTTGCATCAAAATGAATAGTTTGCCCTAACGCTTTCAAGACAGACGCCTAAAATTTGTCCTGTAAGACTGCTACATTTTGAAAGCATACTATTTTCAATTCTAACAAACTTAAAATACAGACAGAATTGAATTCCCACAAATTCATTTAAAGAACTCAAGTTTTGAATCAAATAGAAATATCAAATCCAAAGTTGTGAGCGTCTTAATATGGCCTTGCTACCAACCAAACCTCTAAGAGCAGCAGGTGGCAAACAAGAAACTGCACAGGGACAGCAGGGATTCCTGAATTCAGTACATTTCCACTGCTACCTTCACTAGTCAGGGAAGCCTCTAGCGGAACTAAGGCCTCGTCTTCGTACAGAAATCAGAACCTCCCTCATTGTGGCCCGGAGACCAGTGCAAAAATGCTTTTACTAGTAAAGACTGTTCTCATACAGGAAAGGGAACATGGTCTTCTGATCTAAAGTTGCTGTATTCTGGTAAACCTGTGGGGGCAGGGCTAGGGGAACTGTATTACTTGCTACTAAGTAGCTTGGTTTAAAAATTCTCTACTCAATTAACAGTGCAGAAATTGTACGTTTTCAAAATTCTTACTTTCCCCAGTTTAAAAAGAAATACATAAAATGGTATAAAATGCAGTGACTGCCAACAAGCTTTCTTCCCTTCAAAATTAACAACAATTTAGGAAGTCAGGGGGAACACAGAACGAGTCTCATACTTTTTTTAGTCATAAACATAAGTTTATTAAGAACTGCTGTTTTTCCCCCATGAAAGATAAAAGAAAGAGTAGTCAGAAATATAGTACAAGGTACTTATAGCTATATGCAGTAAGAACAGTCATTCTGGGCAAGTCTACACATGCAATTAATGCAGACCAATAAACTCTGGAGCAAACTGCTCTGGAGTTTATTCGTACACACCACATGAAGCCTGGTTAGAGCAGTCCAGGATGGCAGGGGACCCAGGGGGTCAACCTGCCATCCCAGGGCTGCTCCCCATCTCTTGCATGCTGTGGAGCCCCTGTGCTGAGGCACATAGCGCCCCAGTGTGGGGGTCCACAGCATATGGAGATGGAGAAGCCAGCCCTGGTCTACAGGGGCTCCGCAGCCCTAGAGATGGGGGAGCAGCCAGCAGAGCGGCTGGCTGGGCAGCATCTACACGTATGTCGCATCTTACGCAGGGGTTAGATTCTGAACTCAGCGTGCAAGGCGAAAATTGCGTATAGTCAAATCGCAAATTACCTGCCAGCGATTTGACTAGCGGTGACTGCCTCTGCCTCCAAAACCTCCTGCCGCTGCCGCGGAGCCGTGCTTAGAGCTGTGCGGCTGGCGGCAGCGGCACAGCGCCGGGTGGTGGTGGGGATGGCTGCATGCCGCACGGCCACCACCACGCTGCCAAAACCTCCCGCTGCCACCACCTCAAGCCCCGCTGCCCCTCCCACCCCGCGTATAGTTGAATTCGCGCAAGTTAAATGCGCGTATGATGTGACTGTACTGTATACTGATGCACTCAACAAGGCTCTGCAGCAGAGCAGTACCTGTATTTTACAAGAATACCCTGCTGTGGAGTTTTAGCTGTGTGCGCCCTTATAGGGGCACACATTTAGATGCCAAGACATTTACTGGTCAGTTAATTGGTCAACTGTACAGTAAACTCGCCTTCTTTGTACCAGCTGGGATCTAAACTGCACTCTGCAGTGATATGTGGGACTACACATACTTAGCTTTATCACAACTTCACAATACAAATTTACTGTAGGAGTCCTTAGCTTTAAAAAAAAAAATCTTATTTTAGGTGGTAAAAAGCTGTTGTACAATAGACACCTATTCCATTAACAAAAAGTAATGCAAAACATACGATAAGGCACATGACTAACTGTAGAAACGAGCAAGAATTTTTAATGTTCGCAGTCATGTTTTACTTTACATAAGGAATTATACTGTAACAGACCAAATGGGCAATTCACTCCACCTTACTTATTGCCTCTGCTTATAAGTATATTCAGTATATTATGATTGTTTACAGGTGCAGTTATATTCCCTGGTCCCTTGTTCAGTTAGACAGCACTCAGTCAAGAGCCTTTTCTTGTATTTTTATTCTAAAAAAAATATTTTTGAACATGACTAAGAAATCTAATTTTCCAATTTTTGTTTCACTGTATACTATTTAGCCAGTATACCTAGTTGGGTAGAAGGAAGCCATCCATTATCTTGATCTAGTAAATTTAGCCATTCTGATTTATCATCTCGGTCAATATTTGTTACATGAATATTATTTAACCACATTTTTTTCCTGCTAAAGCATTGCTGAAAATAAATTTCAGATCCTACAGCAGGAGTAAGTGCTGAGGAAACAGTTTCATGTAAGTGACTACACAGAGTACAATGACAAAATTTCTTCAGCTATTTGTACTAAATGCATTTATATTGGGTGTTATCTATTTCTATCAATATTAGTTCCATGAAGGAGAAATTAAAGATATGTAAAATGCAACAAATAGTATTTAAGATGATGCATTCTTAAAGTGCAATGCAAATGTGCAGTGGTTCTAGGTTCAGCAATATATCAAATCAACCAAATCTACAGTAATATAGCCAGCCCGTTGCTCGCAGCAAAAAATTTAATTTTTACTCTGTGTGCTCTAAACAGCTTTATCTTGGCTATTTGTAATCAGAGGTATTTTAGCAGAAGTAAGGTAACTGATTAAGCTGTAGAAGCTGCACTCTATCAAGAATTAGAAGTATATAACAGCTTTTAAGATGTGACCAAAGGCCGGCTGGCTGGCAGGGACCATCTAAGTAAGGGGGCACAGAAGGGGGTTATTTCCCTCCAGCATCTGATGAAGGAGGCAGGGAAGAAGCTTAATCTGCCCCCTGCCCTGCACAAGGAACGATCAGCGGTGGTGGTCAGGGCTGGCAGATCCTGGCTGTGGTCGTGCCAGGCGGACCCCAGCCCAGGTCCGTGCTGGTGGGACAGGGGCAGTTCACTTGAAGCTACTGCAGGGGCTGCCCATGTCTCCCCGCCCCCCGCACAGCTTCTTTGCAACTGAAGGCTGCTCTGGTGCCCCCCCCCCAGCTTCTGGCCTGAGCCACTGCAGGCATGTGCCTACATTTCCTGAATGTCTATTCACTTGCAAATTGGTTCAATCTAGGCAAATTAGACTAACCTGCTAAGATTGAATCAATTTAAGCTTCAGCTTTTTGAATGTCTGCCCCTAGCCCAGTATACCAACTCCTTCACCTTCTACAGCTCTAGAATGATTACAAGCATGTTTGGAAGGACATTCCATCCACCCACTCTTGGATTAGACATGTCTAAAGCTGCCCATTCAACACTAAATATATTTGAGAAATTGCCACCTTTAAAGGTCTTACTTTATTCCGTATCATTTTTGATTGCCAGCATCTAGAAAGCATGTTCAGTATTGCAGCCACAGCAGATAAGCAGATAAATTAGCTTAAGAACAGCAGATATTGACAAGGAAAAAGGTAGTGACCTCAGGTGGAAGTTTAGCAACCTCACAAAGTTAAACTCATGCAAGATCAGCAGGTAAAGACAAAAGCTTTGGATCCCAAGACCAAGGAATTCACTGCCATAAGAAACAGAGAGAAACTTCTAAAAGTTAGCAGGGTGTTTGTCCCAAGTGAAAACATTCTGTATAAAACCAATGAAACAAACAAACAAAGAAAAGGCATTCAAAAACAAATCCAGGAAATTTTATATAAAATATAGGACTGTAAATACGGAAAAAAGGAAATATATTTTCTCCATACAAGATAAATATCACAGTACATACTATATTTGTATACAAACCTTTTAAAAATGTATTTTCAGTGGTAAGAGCAAGGAACCTATAAAGGCTAGATGTCTGGGATTTAATTACAGAAACCCACCCTATGAGTGAGTATATGACGTTCATTCCAGGGGAAATTTCTGAGCCTCTTTGAAATGGCTCACATATTAGACAAGCAAATTAACCTAATGATTTTTCATGTTTACTAGTCACTAATCAACAAAACTGTTTCAACAAAGGCTTCCATCTACTTTGGATTCTGGAGTGAAGTTGAAACCCAACTGTGACTAAACATTACTACGGCTTTACAGAAAAACCAAACAGCAGAATTTAGGTTGTGAAAATGTTACTATTGCTTAAGTGAACTGTACCTGGCAAAATAAGTTGGAATCACTACTTTTCAGAGTACAGACTTCCACTGTGTAACTATGTCCTATATTCCTTGTTGCTAGATGCACAACTGGTATATGGCATCACTTCATTTGAATAGGATCAGTTAAGCCAACCATCTCAGTTATTGTGCTGTGATAGTTTTTGCTTATTTACAATTCAACCAATTTGTATCACCCATAAGTTTGAAGAGCATTTTTTTTATTTTGATGAACCAAACATAAATGAGATTTTACTGCTTTTATCAACATTTGCAATTTATGTTCTTTCTATGCATTTAATTGCATTTTCCTTCTCTGAAACTTTCAAACATTAAAACCTACAGACTAGATGAGTTATTCTGGACCACCACATCATGCATGAACATTTGAAAATTAAAGTAGTGTTGTTGTTGCAGGTGCAGAACTACACACTGTCTAATATTAAAGTTACATCTGAGTTCTTCCTGAGTGGTTGATCCTTTAAAAGGAGAGGACTGCAATGCAAAATACAACTTTCATTTTACAGTTCCTTGCTGGATGTCCCCATAAGCAACTGACATAGTACTGGCTGATTTTTGCCACAGAAATGCTTGTGCACAGAAAAAGTAACTTGGATCCTTCACTGGAGAGGTAATGACATTTCTAAATCCTGAATCTGCACAATTCATCCTCCCCTCCACTTTTTTTGCTCATAAGTGACATGGCAAAGGGAGAGAGAAATATGATTGTATGTGAAAACAAGACTATTTTAAATAAGATTAACAGGTTATAACAGTTCAGTTTTCAGCATCTTTTAAAAAAAAAATCAAAGCGTTAAGTTTCCTCAGTTGGGTGAGCTACAATATAATGACAGCAAAGAAACCAAGACAGTTTTCATAAATCCTCTGACAAGAAAATGCAACAGTACAAAATACTGAACAGCTTCTCTAGTTATTTGCAACTAAAAAAGATTTCTGCAGTACTACACAGTCTGGAGTGCAGGGATAACATTCTGGTACATGCCCTTTTATTGAGATATTAGCTACAGACAGTTCTCAACTTACACCGTTTTGAGTTGCAACGTTTCACACTTACAACGTTTATAAACTGACACCCTGTTTCAACTTTACAGCGCCAGTTTCAACTTACAACGCTTGATCCGATGCAATGCCATGCCAGCGAACAAGTTCGCTGTGTCGCTCATCTCCCTGGAGAACATCTGTCCAAACTTCCTTGGACACTTTCTTTAAGAAAGCAGACAAGACTCCAGAAAAACCTGCAGCCAAAACTCCTGAGAAGACTCCAGCCAAGAGCCCTTCAAAAAGTCCAACCAAGAGCCCTTCAAAAAGTCCAACCAAGAGCCCTTCAAAAAGTCCAGAAAAGTCACCTCAAAGAAGTCCTTCCAAATCAATATGATTGCTATTTACAATATAAATATATTAATGTAGCTATATTACTCATCTATAAATTGATCGAGTACAAAATTCTGGGGTATTTTTGGTGAAAATAGGGTACTGGGCCTTGGTTCAGGAACCAATCCCCCATTTATAACATTATTTTTTCTGAGAAAATTGGTTCCGAGTTGCAACGCTCTGACTTAAGACACATTTTTCAGGAACCAATTGTGTCGTAAGTCTGAGGACTGCCTATATTCCTTTTTTAAAGGCAGATTGCATGATTTTTATATATAAACAGTATTCCATGCAATTCTTCAATAATGTCGATTTTATTTTTTGGAGAGGAAAATATCAGCAATCCAAGCTATCACAAGTAATTTGATGAATGATTAGGAAAAATGTGAAGAAACTTTCATTTCAAGTTTCTATAAAGGTTTTAGAGGAGGAAGAAAATAAAATTATGGAAAAGGTGGCAAATTTATGCACATATATAATCATTTTAACTTAAGTGCTAAATGTTGAAACAATCTGTTTTCTGCTAAATGTCATGTTAGTATTCAATCTGATGTCAGATTTGCTTAGAAATCAAGGTTAGTATCTATAAAGCTCTCCATGAAGTGATTTATTTTACCATGAAATGGTAAACAAATCATCTCTCTCCAGCTGATTCCATAATGTGCATTTACAATATCACTGTAAAGATACTTACTGGCTGAGGCTTGAGGTTGAATGCGAGGTATTCCTCCATTTGGCACTTGAAAGCTTGAGTCACTTCTGCTGTTTTTCACAGACTCAGCTTGGATGTTAGATGTCCTGGACAGGTTTGGAAGACTACGTCTTAGTTTTTCTGTATCAAAGAATTAAAAAAAAAAAAAGACGACACCACAACAAACAATTTGATGCAGGGGATTGAATATATTTAACATAACCTTAGCTGACTTAAAGTACTACTCACGTGAAAATTGATGTTGGCTGCACCGTAATTTAAGTGGTCAAGCTTGCAAGGCTATGTTTAGACAGCTCCCTAGTGTTACTGTCCTATAGATTACTTTCCTGTTTATCAAATACTAAACATCCTGAACATGCATTCTCTTGCTCATCAAATACTTAGCAAGTTTGTTGTATAGTGGCAAACGTACTATGCCTCTAAATTAACAGAAAAGGAAATAATTAGTCTGCTAGTATCACTATGTTTCATCCAGCAATTCACAAGTCTTTCTTTGGATTTTACATTACATTCAGTGTTTTCAGAGGGCCAAAAATGTAGTCTGTGTGCACAGCATTACACTAGTCATTAAATATTGTGGTTTCTCTTATGCACCAAGATGGCTCTATTTTAATACAACCCTGTGCCATAGAGGATAAGTCATTTGCTGCATTTTCAGTCAGTTTGAGCATAGTCAAGTTAGCGTTTAATTGCAACTAATTTAGACTTATTACTTGATTAAGTCATCTGACTACAAGCAAGCCTAAAGCAAAACTGATTGAGGAACTTTCTCTGCTTTGTCTCCCTAGATGCTTAAGTGATTCACCAGTAACAACACACTATATCATTTATTTTAAAGATTGCAAAGTGAGAAAGATTTATTTACAGCACTAATGCCCTACTTTTGTACTAAACCCAATTAACTTGACATAAGAGCTTTTTACCTTCGCTTTTGACACTGCTAGTCTGCAGATCTGTAGGATGGCCTTGAAGTGAAAGACGAGGTTGCTGCAAGCGGCTAATCATGGGCTGGGGTGACGCTCTACTGTATTCTATGCTTCGAGCAGGTGATCGAGAACGAGGGGAATTCCTTGGAGATTGTTTCGGTGAAGGCCACGGAGAAGTGCGCGGTGAGGGTGAAAACCTATTTACGGCAGGATGTACTGTATGATGTGTACCATCTTCTTCATCCTCTAAACTTTGTGCATCAAGTTCCTGATCACTAAATGTACCCCGTCTCATAGAATTGCAAGAGGAACCAGAACTACGTCGAGAAGCAGTAGCTGCATATTCTTGTCGAAGACCTGTGAACAGAAAGAATGGTGCTTACCTATGTTTAAATTTGACGCGGCGTATAACTATTCATGCTGTCACCTCTGGCACCCCCATTTCCTCCTTACTTGAAGCAATAAAGTTATTATCCAACAGTTGATAATGTATGTGAAATTAAGTACTTACTTTCTATCCTTCTACTTCTAGGGTCCCACGGAACAGACCTGTGCCACTCATCTAGCCTGTGGAGCCATGACATCCAGCCCAAAGTTTTACTCCTGCCCCACTCCCCCAAGCACGGACTGCATCTTAGACTGTTTTGTGAATCACCTTCTTTTCCATCAGCACCACTACACCCAGTGATGACTACAGTGATTACATGGCAAAATCTCTTGCTAAACTAACATAATTTAGCAGTTGTAAAGAAAGAAAAAAGGAAAGCAATATGATCAGCCAGTTCTATACAGATTATCAAACAAGAGTTTGAGAACTGTTGCCCTACTGGATGGGTAACCAAAATAATAAACTCCTTTCAGGGTTTCATGAGAAGGCCAAAAATATGAATGTACAAAACTTTGATCAAAATCAACCTTTTTTTGTTGAGGATGCCTGCATTACTATTCCCTCCACCCATGTTCTCATTCTGTGGACTTTACTCTCCAGCCTTTGAGCACTGCCAAAACAGGCATACCCCCAAGATGCATGCATCTTTAAGGGATACCAGCCAGTCAAACTAGCCTTTTTTTTTTTTTAAATACACTATTCCAGTGGTGCCCAACATTTTTGCTTTGTGGACCTGATGAGTGATGTCAGCTGCCTCTGCAGGATGGTCTGGGCCTCCGGGGGTGGGGGGTGGGTGGAAGATATCAGCACCCTGATCCTTATCTGTTTACCTGGGGCAGAGGCAGGGCCAATGAAGCCCTAATCAAGATGTGCATGGAAGGAGGGTGAGGAGAGAACAACCCAGTCTGGAACCCAATCTTGGACTGGACGTGAGGGCATGGGTGAGGTGGGGTAAGGGGCGGAGCATTGTCACATTTTGATGTGTGGACCTGGTCCTGATCCCACTGCATGGGTAATGGCCCAGGTGAGACCGGACCCCATAACACACAGCTACCATCGTTCCTCTACTGTCAAGTTTACCAACCTGTGGGGATCCCCGTGGGCTGGTTGTCATGACTCCATGGGACACAGGCTGAGCACCTGTGCTATTCCACTGTAAACTATCAGTATACCTCTCCTTTCTTCCACTACTGAAGGACAGGTTGGCAATGCGTTTTTATTACAGATTGACAGACTTGACTCCCAAGTCTCACTCTCAACTTGTGCCAAAAGTATCCTTAAGTTAATTCATCCATAAATGGATAACTTGCCATTTTGACAGGGAAGTCAAAAATGGTCCAAGATGATACTAGGTCTTCTGATCATTGCCTAGAGAAACTATACCTTAGCCAGTACTGGAACATTTCTTTTTCCTTTTATCCCCAAAAATAAGAAATCCTACAGCTTCCTTTGCCTCTAATCTGGAAGGAGAGGATCAGCTAGTCATTTAGCAGGAAAGACCTATGTTTCTGCAACCGCAATACAAACCTCTCCTCTGCTCCCTCCACAATCCCTTCAAGAACATAGGTGCAATATTACACGCACCCTTTTAAGAAATTTTCTCCCAAAATGCAAAACGAATCATATGAAGCCTTGGATTCCTCATGTAGCAGTTAATGGCCCTAAATTATTAGGGCAATCTCCTTGATTGACTGTGGCAACTCCTATTCTTGTGCCATTCTTTCCCACGCTGCCGCCTAGGAACTCAGCAGAAGCACATCTCTTGATTAAGGGATTCCACAGTCCTCTTGCATAAAGCCATGCACTGAATCACGCAAGCTTCCCCAGCTGACAAATACGCAGGGGTTTCAGTCCTATTCCACAGAACCTTCCTTCTTGGCTCTGTACAAGCTTATTTTGTCTCTACCCCAGAAGGCTTGATTTGGTCACATGACCTGCCCATCATATGGCTTTGCTTATCATCTCTACCAGGGGAGACAATCTGAGTGGGCACATGTGGGACTAAACCAGTGGTGTTCAGCCTCTCTGGCCTTGTGGGCTAGATGAGAGGAACAGGTCTGTTCCATGGACTGGATCCCACACATGGGGTTGGTCCACGTGTGCAGCCCCACAAACCAGATTCCTCCTGCAGCGCTACCCTGAACACCAGATCTACTCATGGCCCAAACTTGCATGCTGGATCCAGCCATGGAGTGACTACACAGTTTGGTGGCAGGAGAGTGGTGGTAACATTAACTGCTGCAGTTCTGGCAGCAATTAACGCTGCTACAACTTCCCCAGCTGCCAAATTTCTGGACCCTGGGGAGCTCTACAGGTCAGATGCCATAACTTCAAAGGCCATATCCAGCCTGCAGACTGGAGGTTGAATATCACTAAACTAAGCCCATCAACCCTTGAAGGGTTGGTCAGTCTCCACAACTGCAAATTAAAGGAAAAGTCCTGTATGCAAAATACTTACTTTCTTCCTGCATCCGAGCTAGAATTTGCACATCTGTAACATCATTTAGCTTGTAATTAGATCCAATTGAGTCTTCATCCATTTCCGAAGCACTTAATTCACTGTCTATAGAGGACTGTGGGCTTAGTGGAGGATTTCTATCTGCTGAACTTTTAAAATGACCTGTTAGAAAATGAAGAAAAAAAGTACAAGCTAAACAATTTAATGCTGTGTACTACTACACTGTGCACCATGATAGAGGAAAAAGCCTACATGCTCCCCTTCACAACAAACAAAGCTAAAAACTGCAAGATTGGGTGTCAGTAATACCTAAAGTACTGTTTTGAAAGAAAATAACTAACATTATTTACAACTTCCATTTTGAAATATTTTATTGAAAAAGTTAGCCCAAAAAGTAAAACAAAAAGCCAGTGTTCATGCAAAGACAGTCTTCCCTTGGTACAACCCCCCTCCCAAAAAACCCACAAGCAGAATGTAGGTAACAGATTAATCCATTTCTACTTTTGTTGGTGTTCACAATTTGGGTATCTGCACTGGACTTCTAGGGTACAGAATCATAGAAAACATACAAAATTAGGGCTGGAAGGGAGCTCAGGAGATCTAGTCCAGTCCCCTGCTCAAAGCAGGTAACTTTCAGCCTTTGCTGAAAATGCAGTATCTACTCTCTTAGTATTGCCTGTTCACGTCTTTGTCTGCTATATCTTATGTTTATAAGATACCCAAGAGGTATCCCAGAGGTTTAAACACTAAGTATATTAAATCTTTATTTAAATACAACATTCAGAAAATAGAGATCTCCTGATATGTTTGATATATGCAACATGTTAAATTACACACATATACCCTAACAGCTTAAATATAACACAAAGTCATCAGAATTTAATACTTAAACATGTAATTATCTCAAAACCCTATTTATTCTTATATGCACATTAGACAAGGCTGCTTAAAACAGTTTTATTAGTCAACATTTGTAGAACTTAGCTTCCTGAAAGATTCTTTTCCCAAAATAGGTCTGCTATTGTCACATCTGCCTTTTCGTGCCTGTGGCGTTTCATTACTTAATTACGTCTGTACTGCAATCAAATACGTGACTACAGGATGCGTAGGATCACCCAGATCTCTAACCTAGCTAGGTTACAACTGCAATAAACGTACTGGAAGCTTCACTGTGGGCTGTTCAAATTGAATGGGGACAATAAACACTTCGGCAGCTAACCCATACTGTCACATCTTTGCTGCAATTTTTACCCAAGTTAACTAAATTAAAGAGACCCTGGGGTGTGCCGACAGATGCTTAAAAAAACCCAAACCCTCCAACTTGCAGTCTAAATATCCATTGTCAAATTTCCCCAAAGCAGAGAAACTAATAGTCAGTGTCCAAGATAAAAGCAACATTCTGTCAAATGACTGCATATGCTGGAGACCACAAAGCCTCACTCCAGTACCTTTCCATTTACCACCTCGCCCTGGGGCTGTGGACATGCATGCATTTGTAGTACTACAAAAACATAGCATTATGAAGGGTGTACATCTGTGCACAGTCCCCTGACCTGTGTGCTAAAAAGTAGCAGCCAGGAACTGATAGAAGTCTGCTCCTTTGCCCACCCTCCCACCCCAAATACCTGATACCCTGCCCTCCGCCCTACCACAGAAAGGGGACCACTGGGCAGGCTTTCAGCCTCCCACGGAGGGCAATAAGCTGTCATGAAATATGCTGTTGTGCCAGGGGCAGCAGTGGGCTTTCTGACAGCTTGCCAACTTCCAGGGCAAAGAAAGCTGCTTCTGTCCTCATGACTAGAGCAGGAGCAGGCTGTCTGATAGCTCATTGTCCCAGAGGGATCAGCAGCCATCCCAGTCACTGCTGCTGGGACAGCAGATACCCCTTACCCCTGCTGTCCTAGTGGCAGCATCACTAATCCTAACTGCAGCAGTGATCAGAGCTGCAGGTCCCCCAAGACTGGGGCTCTGAGAACTTACCACCCTTCATGAAAGGGCGGCCAGGAGAACGCACTGCTGCCCAGAGCCTGCAGCAGAAAGCTCTGTGGCACATAACCATGATAAGCAGAGCTGAAGTCTCCAGTCCTGGCTGGACTGCAACCCTGCTCCCCAGGCTGCCAGGGAGGCCCTCTCCTCTCCCTCCCTTGGTCTTAGTGGGGAAGTAGGGGAGAAGGCAGAGCACAACAGATTGCTGGGGCACCATGAGACCCCCACCCCCCCACCACATAACACTGCATTCAACTACAAATGTAATATGTGACATGACAAACAGCACTGCAGAGAATTTCCTCTTTCAAACAAAGTTTTCCTAGTGCTTGCACCATTTCTGCAGTGTTCCAGGTAAGCATACAGATGTGAAACCTGCTTTTTGTAATGCCAGAAGGGCATGTATTAAATTAAAACATAGCAGGGGTACCAAGAATACAGTCTCAGGCTGTGGACCACAAGTTGAATTGCAGAGCAAGACTTTTTACTAGTTCTGGCTATATTGCTGTCATTTATACTAGTGCCTTGATGTGCAAGAACCGACAGGCTATGCAACAACACGAGTGCAGGCAGCAGTTACAACTATATTCCAGAAAGCTATATGAATCTTTAGTAACTACTATCATCATGCATTAGTCAGCTAATAGACCAAATCTATAGGAAATTATTTTTATATAAGTGTATGTAAAACACTTCTTTATGTATCTATATCTACAGATATATAAAAGTGTGCACACACTGTGAGTGCACAGAACAATCATACAACCAAGTTTATATGCACCACTTCTCCCTAAAAAAAGAATACATTTGTCTAGTTCAGAGAGATCCAAACAAAAGTAGCATTATAACACCTCAAGCTCAAAAAAAAGCCTACTGTGTTTTTCCTCTGCAGTATCTGAAATATCATGCAATTTTCTTACTCAAACACAAGTTTCATCTTTTCTTGTCCACAAACTCTTCATGCCTGTGTAATGCCCCACACAAGAGAACATGATACTTCCTGAAAACAAAAACCTACCTGAGCTACCAGAAGGTACGAGCTGTTTCATTAAAGCAGATTTCACTGGCGTTGAGGAAGGCGAGTTGAAGCCACTACTGTAGGGGCTACTAGCGTTGGGACTATAAGGGCTTGTGTAACTGACCACACTGAAAGGATTACTGTACAAACTCTGCCTCTTGAGGACTGCTTGAAAGGGGGGAAAAAAAAGTGACAAGCCATATTAAAGGAGCTGGTAAAGATCATCATATTACAGTATTTCAAGTCATTCAACATGATTTAGTTACTAGACAATTTATCTAAGTAGTTTCAGTCAGTAGAAAAATGTATTTCTTTTTAGATTTATAAAAAAAGTGCCTATTTAGCTTCTGGACATAAGAGTCCTAATAGGATGAAGTCCATCCAAAGTGATGGATAGGACAATGACCCTAATACCTTTCTCCACCTAACTCAACAGATCCAAGTTCACTCTGGATAAATTTACCTCTTCACAGTGGAGTAACTTTCCCTAAAACTCAGACAGACTATGGGACTGAAAAGGAGAAGGGAAGGAGACTCAGGCTAATACTCATCCCCAAGAACATGCACTTTCTTCCCATTAAAGGGCAGAGCTACTGAAGCCATCTGCCATAGCTGCTCACACACAACAGTATTAAGATGTAGTAAAATAGGTGAAACATCTTTAACTGCACACAGGGATGTGTGTAATGGCTTTCATCTTACATGTGAGGTAAGGGTATTAAGCAAAATGCTGCATATGGAAATATCTCAGTATGCTTGTGATGCTATCCTACACAGAACATGACATGTTAAACCCTACTAATGGACAAAGCTATGAACCACCTACAAGTGCCACTGAAAAGAGAAGGTCCCAACCTTCTTGTCAAAGTAGAGAGGAAGGGTGTTTTTGGCTACTTCTGTACAACTATTGCACTGCCCTGCACACAAAAGTAGTTAAGATGAAAATTAGTAAGAAAAGGACACCATTTGGTTAACACGGTCTCTCCCGAAATTTCTCTGTTCAAGCTGTTTTTCCTTAACAGACCAGGATAACCTTCTATTCTCATTCTCCATGGGCGTCATTCAGCTAGCTCTTATCCAATCCCTGGGATAGCATATTAACAACATAATCTGAGTTTGATGAAAGATGGAGAGCTGAAAGTTATATATGCACTAAATGCCCCAACTGCTACTCACAGTAGCCTTAATTATTCTCTAGTCACCATCAAATCCAAAAGGAAAACTCAGTTCAGATCATCAAGATCAAAAAGCAACATGACTAGCATGCAACACTTATTTCAAAAAGAAAAATAATCTTTGCATGACCTGCACTATCAAATCACTACTGAAGTTGTCAGCTGTGAAAATTTCTATTCTAGCCCAAGGCAAGAAGTATCTTTGGGCCAGAGACGATCATGACAAAATATAGCTCTGGTGACAAAACTCACCAACTTACTGGATTGCACAGACAAAAGGATTCAAAACTGTTCAGATGAAATTGCTGAAGCAGTCTCTTTGTGCAGTGCTAACCTGAAAACTAAGTGCTCCCCGCAATGCTGTTTTAATTTTAAAAAATCTGTTTGTGATATTGTTCAAGCGTATCATTTAAACACCTCTTTCCAAAAGAAAAGAAGGTCTAGATAATGCTACATTGGGGAGTATTTCTTTCATCATTCTGTAGTATAATGCAATGTAATTAAGGGCAAGAGCCAACCATTATAAAAATATTAGTAGTATAAATATAGTAATAAATCAAATCATGAATCTATAAAAATGCTGCACAGAGATCCACAACTGACACACTAAAATCAGATATAGTGTTAACATTTATCAATCATATCAACAGTAAAGGATGTTTAACTCTAACTGATTCAGCTTTATAAGCAAAAATTGCAAAATGGTTTGCTAAATATGGATCCATTTGCTGGAAGAACAAGATTAGTTTCTCTCCGTTTGAAAAAGTGTATCAATTTCTCCAAGAATGGTGATAAATAGGTTCTCCTTATGTTATTATATAAAGAACATTCTAAAACATAACGAACAGTGTCTTCCAAAACTCCCAGACAAGCTGGGCAACATCTTTTAGTGCTTGGAATGGAAAGCCTATGTCCAGCAAAAACAAACTGGGGGCAAGAGAAACAGCCTTAATTTAACTGCAACAGATGTCAATATTAGCAGTCTGCAAAGACAAGAGTTCTGTCACAATAGCAAAAAATAAGTTGAGTCATGTAGTCATATTAGACAAAAAGATCTTCCTGTGGCAGCTGTGACTTCCTTGGAGGCTTGTATGTTGGTGCACCTTAAACAATTAAGAAGGAGCAGAGGTATAAAATTTGGGGGAATAATGCTTCACTTAGATAGCTGACTATCTGAAATAAAAATCTGTTTAAATATCAAGCTTTTAGTAAACTATTATTGTTTCCTACACTTTCTTTGATTACCAGGATAAGCCACTGTTCGACATCTCAAAGTCACCACAAGTAGCCTAAAGCATTCACAAAATACACAGTGGCTTAGAGTGCTACCACAGTGTTTTGGATGCGTACTCAAGAATATGTCCTTTTTTAGAAAAGGTGGTAGACCATTCTCCCATTAGAGCAAGATTGTCCTCCATGGTACATTTTACATTGTTTGTAATGCTTTGTCCAGTTGGTGGGGTTTCTATTGCTGTGCTTGAAAAAGTTTCACACCTAAACCTTCTGACAGTGTTCTCACTGATCTTATTATAACTTCTTGTGTTAAGGCCTTGTCCAAGCCCATTAAACTTAATTGCAACTGAGCTAGCTACTAAGAGAGTTATACTCTTCACCAAAGAAAGGTTACAGCCAACACTTTTTAAACCTGTATACCCATCCTGTGGAATAGGATAGGGCCAGAAGCAAGCAATAAGCTACCAGGGACTTGAGCATCTGACCCTGTAGCTCAGTTATACCAGACTATTTAGAAAATGCAGGATCTTAAACTCCTGAAAGTGAGTTTTTAAGACAGAATAACCTCAATTATTTCACACAACGTTAGAATTTTGCTGACACTGAAAGAAAATTAACATAGCAGTATGACTTGACGGCAGTGAACCTGGCCAAGGGGCTAAATTCTTTTGCACTACTCCACTGAAATGACACTGAGTGTCAAGGGCCCGCAGCAAGGTGGTAGCCCTAGACTTCAGGAGGGCCAGCTTCAGTGAGATGAGGAGATTAGTGGGAGAGGAACTGGGGTCCTTGAGGGCAGAGGAACTCAGCGTCCAAGAGGAGTGGTCGTTCCTTAAGGAAACGATACTCGGGGCCCAAGGGGTGTCCATCCCGACAAGAAGCAAGGGGGGCAAGAGTGTCCAAAAGCCCCCCTGGCTCACCAAGGGTGTCCGGGAGTGCCTGCTTGCCAAAAAGGCGGTGTACGCCTGGTGGAAGGGGGGTGTAATCTCCAAAGAGGAGTATACCTCCTCTGCTTGGGCCTGCAGGCGGGCTGTTAGGAAGGCCAAGGCGGATATAGAGCTCGGATTAGCGTCCAGGATTAAGGATAACAAAAAGTCCTTTTTCAAATATATTGGGAGGATGAAGAAGGTGCCGGGTAATGTGGGGCCCCTGCAGGATATGCGGGGCAATCTGGTGGTTGCGTCAGAGGATAAAGCGGACCTCTTTAACCAATTCTTCACCTCCGTTTTCTTGTGCAGGGACCGGGACTTCCCTGCTGTGATAGAAGCCGGACGCGAGGGGATCGCCTTCAGACCTCAGGTTGGGGAGGACCGGGTTAGAGAGCTTCTGGAGGGGCTGGACGCGTTCAAGTCAGCGGGTCCGGATGCTCTCCACCCCAGGGTGCTGAGGGAGCTGGCTGGGGTTATTGCAGGGCCCCTGGCACGGCTCTACGAGCGATCGTGGTGCTTGGGCCAGGTGCCAGATGATTGGAAGGTAGCTAATGTGGTCCCCATCTTCAAAAAAGGGAAAAGGGAGGACCCGGGCAATTATAGGCCCGTCAGTCTTACCTCAATCCTGGGGAAACTCTTTGAGAAGATCATCAAGGAGCACATTTGTGATGGGCCGGCATCCGAGATGATGCTCAGGGGCAATCAGCATGGATTTATTAGGGGGAGATCATGTCAGACCAACCTGATTGCCTTTTATGATCAGGTCACAAAGGCCATGGACGCAGGTGTCGCGGTGGATGTAGTCTTTCTGGACTTCAGCAAGGCCTTTGACACCGTCTCTCACCCCATCCTAATTAATAAACTAGGCGACTGTGGCATAGATGCCTACACAGTCAGATGGATTGCAGATTGGCTGAAGGGTCGCACTCAGAGGGTGGTGGTGGATGGATCATACTCGACTTGGGGGGAGGTGGGTAGTGGAGTCCCCCAGGGCTCGGTCCTGGGGCCTGCGCTGTTCAATTTCTTCATCAGCGATCTTGATGTTGGGGTGGAAAGCAACCTGTTTAAATTCGCTGATGACACCAAAATTTGGGGGGAGGTGAGCACGCTAGCAGGGAGAGAGAGATTGCAGAAGGATCTGGATAGGTTACAGGGGTGGGCAAACAGGAACAGGATGTGTTTCAATACGGACAAGTGCAGGGTGCTGCACTTGGGTAGTAGGAACCAGCAGCACACTTATACGATGGGGAGCTCCCTACTTGAGAGCACGGAGGCGGAAAGGGATCTTGGTGTCATTATTGACTCCAAGATGAACATGGGCCGACAATGCGAGGTCATGGTTGGCAGGGCTAACCGGACCTTGTCGTGCATCCACAGGTGCATCTCGAGTAGAGCCAGGGAGGTGATCCTCCCCCTCTATGCGACGCTGGTCAGGCCGCAGCTGGAGTATTGTGTCCAGTTCTGTGCGCCCCATTTCAGGAGGGATGTGGACAACATGGAGAGGGTCCAGAGGAGGGCCACCCGCATGATCCGGGGACAACAGGGCAGACCCTACAGTGAGAGACTGCGGGACTTGAACCTATTCAGCCTCCACAAGAGAAGGCTGAGGGGGGACCTGGTGACCGTCTATAAACTCACTAGGGGGAACCAGAAGGGTTTGGGGGAGACGCTGTTTCCCCTAGCCCCCGCTGGCATAACAAGGAGTAATGGGCACAAGTTGATGGAGAGGAGGTACAGATTGGACATCCGAAAAAACTACTTCACAGTTAGGGCGGCTAGGAGCTGGAACCAACTTCCAAGGGAGGTGGTGCTGGCCCCTACCCTGGGGATC